GAGCGGTCATGGGAACCGTCGAGGGTCATCTTGGACCCCTCTCTCATAACGGACTTCTGGGCTCGCCGCTCTGGGACTTCTGGGGCCGTCCCTCGGGTGGGGGGTCCTGTCACACAACCTCCCTCTCAGCCGTCAACCTCCTCTAGGGAGGCACCGCAGAGCCGCTCAGACTCCATTACCCAACATCCCTAGCGCCAGGCTTCCGTTTCACGTCACCCGCCAAACCTATATAAGGAAGTGCCGCACAACGCCGGCTCACTCAGTCATCGTTCTCACCGAACTTAACCTAGAGTCTTAACCAGATCAGCTCAGATCACGAAGCCTGTTCAGATCAGACCAACCAGATCAGACCAGCCAGATCTCAGAATCCTGCCTGCTCGTACAGATCAGCTTCAGACCAGGAGTCGCCGTGTTCAGCTGTGTCACCATACAGCTGCGCACCCGGCTCCCAGATTAAACAGCGTGTCCATTCAACCTGGCGTCAGTCACTCCGCGCTTGGGTTAAAAGCCACGCCACATCCAAACTCTCGCCCCGCTCGAGTCACCCCGTTACAGGGGAGGCTCATATCCTATCATTGACAATGTTACCAGTAATTGTTTCTTTCCTAGAGAATAAAAATCTATCAGGTTAAGCTAAATTTAAGATGTATTTGCATCCACTGTTCAAAATTACATTCCCACTATTTGGGCCTCACTGCTCTCTGGATCCGATTTCTGACTGACTGGCAAGGTTTGGCCCGTCTTGCTTATAAAGAGAACTCCGGTCAGCAGCAGCGGGCTCGCTGAAACGTGAACGAACGTCCTCAAATATTTAAATCTATCTATCTATCTATCTATCTATCTATCTATCTATCTATCTATCTATCTATCTATCTGTCTGTCTGTCTGTCTGTCTGTCTGTCTGTCTGTCTGTCTGTCTGTCTGTCTGTCTGTCTGTCTGTCTATCTATCTATCTATCTATCTATCTATCTATCTATCTATCTATCTATCTATCTATCTATCTGTCTGTCTGTCTGTCTGTCTATCTATCTATCTATCTATCTATCTATCTATCTATCTATCATCTATCTATCTATCTATCTATCTATCTATCTATCTATCTATCTATCTATCTATCTATCTATCTCTGGAGTATTTACATACTCTATCTAATTCATTAAAAATATCTACAAGTTCATCTAGCGGTGTGTTTTCAATCATGTCAAGATCAATGTCATCTATTGTTCTGACTGATCTGCAGGTGGGTTTGGAAAACGTCTTGCCTTCAGATGAAAGGGGCTTTGCAGGGACAGAAGGTTCCTGCTTGGGTCTCAAGAGAAGTTGTTTGAAACATTCCACAATTGTTTTCTGAGTATTTGTGTCTCTTCTCTGCAAAAGCATCAGGATATAGTCTTCTGGCAAGAAAAGCTTCTCACAAGTGCTGTTGAAGATTTGGTTGGGAAGTTCTTTCCAGCTTTCTGTGGAGCAAATTGGTTCACCTTCCACAACGGGCCAGATTTGGTCAAAGATCATGTCGTGTAACTCTTCAGTGCATGTGTGGGTAGGCAGAATAAACGATCGTTTAGCAGCTAGCTCAATAAACTCCTCAACAAGCCTGCTAACATATTGTTTTGGGGTGTCTCCAATTCCACCTGGAGGAGATTCAGGTTTGACCTCACAGGTGACACCTGACTGAAAACTTTCGGGTTTGGAAAACGTCTTGCCTTCAGATGAAAGGGGCTTTGCAGGGACAGAAGGTTCCTGCTTGGGTCTCAAGAGATGTTGTTTGAAACATTCCACAATTGTTTTCTGAGTAAGTGTGTCTCTTCTCTGCAAAAACATCAGAATATAGTCTTCTGGCAAGAAAAGCTTCTCACAAGTGCTCTTGAAGATTTGGTTGGGAAGTTCTTTCCAGCTTTCTGTGGAGCAAATTGGTTCACCTTCCACAACGGACCAGATCTGGTCAAAGATCATGTCGTGTAACTCTTCAGTGCATGTGTGGGTAGGCAGAATAAACGATCGTTTAGCAACTAGCTCAATAAACTCCTCAACAAGCCTGCTAACATATTGTTTTGGGGTGTCTCCAATTCCACCTGGAGGAGATTCAGGTTTGACCTCACAGGTGACACCTGACTGAAAACGTCCGGGTTTGGAAAACGTCTGGCCTTCAGATGAAAGGGGCTTTGCAGGGACAGAAGGTTCCTGCTTAGGTCTCAAGAGATGTTGTTTGAAACATTCCACAATTATTTCCTGAGTAATTGTGTCTCTTCTCTGCAAAAACATCAGAATATAGTGCTCTGGCAAGAAAAGCTTCTCACAAGTGCTCTTGAAGATTTGGTTGGGAAGTTCTTTCCAGCTTTCTGTGGAGCAAATTGGTTCACCTTCCACAACGGGCCAGATTTGGTCAAAGATCATGTCGTGTAACTCTTCAGTGCATGTGTGGGTAGGCAGAATAAACGATCGTTTAGCAACTAGCTCAATAAACTCCTCAACAAGCCTGCTAACATATTGTTTTGGGGTGTCTCCAATTCCACTTGGAGGAGATTCAGGTTTGACCTCACAGGTGACACCTGACTGAAAACTTTCGGGTTTGGGGATCTCTGGGGTCTCCTCAGAGTCAAGTAGCTCCAGATCTTGACAAGAGAGCCCATTCATGGAGATAAGCTCAGGAGAGATAGTGTCCTCGTTGGACCACGTTGGTGAATAAAACTTTGAAGTAGGAGTCTGGTCTTCATCAGATTCATCCTCAGATGCGTCTTCATAATAAATTTGAAAAAGCCTTAAAGATTCAGAGACTGAGGCTGGAATCTGTTCATAAACATCAGGGTTAGGGTCAGGCCTGGGTGTGAATTTAAACGATGGACTAAACCATTGACTATTGGACTCCACTGAGGAGATCTCTGGGGTCTCCTCAGAGTCACAATCAGAGTCACGCTTAGCTGGGACAGTGGACACTTTAGGTACAGAGCCATTCGTTGATCTGAACTTATGACTAGTTTTTTTCTGCTGTAAGCTCGAGCCCAACTTGGAAAACACGCTGCCAATTGATTTAACAAACCTTGAAGCAATTGACGGCTTTGGGGACGCATTCAGGAGCTGTTCCTTAAAACAGTTCACCAATGCACACTTTTCACCAGGGGATCCACGCTCCACTATCCTCACCAGAAAATGCTTCTTCTTTGTGCGTAACGTCTTACAAGCGTGATTGAAGATTTTCTTGGCCAGTTTTTTGGGGTTTCTTCCCGTGATGTTAACACTTTCTCCCTTCACCTCACGCCACATTGTCTCAAAGAGCCACAAAAAATGCATCTCCTTTTCTTCTGGGCGACATTTGAAAGATGTCTTTTCAAACACTAAGTCAAGAAAAGAGTGAAAAAGCTGGCGAATAAATTGTTCTAAATCTTCCTTCTCTGTACTTGCAGCCTTTCCAGGTGTGGACTTGGAAAACACGCTGCCAACCGATTTAACTAAACTTGCAGCGATGGACGTCGTTGGGGACGCATTCAGGAGCTGTTCCTTAAAACAGTTCACTAATCCACGCTGTTCTTGAGAGGATCCAAACTCTATTATCGCTAAAAACTCCTTCTTATTTGTGCGTAACTTCTTACAAGCGTGATTGAAGATTTTCTTGGCCAGTTCTTTCGGGTTTCTTCCTGTGATGTTAACACTTTCTCCCTTCACCTCAGGCCAGATTGTCTCAAAGAGCCACGGAAAATGCACCTCCTTGTCTTCTGAGGAACATTTGAAAGATGTCTTTTCATACGCTACGTCAAGAAAAGAGTCAAAAAGCTGGCGAATAAATTGTTCTAAATCTTCCTTCTCTGTACTCACAGCCGTTCCAGGTGTGCTGTGGGAAAGGCTCATTTCTGGCTCACTAGCTTTCTCCTCTGAGCTTGTGCCGGACTTGGAAAACACGCTGCCAACTGGTTTAACTGAACTTGCAGCGATGGACGGCTTCTGGTTCAGGAGCTGTTTCATGAAACCCTTTCCAAATATGTACTCAAAGTCAACGTTTCCACTTTCCATTACATGTAAAAGATCCTCTTTTGAACAGTTAACTTCATTACAAATACGTTTAAACAAAATTTCAGCAAACTGTTTCATGTTTTCTGGGTCAGTTACATTTAGACCCTTCACTTCAGGCCAAATTTCATTAAACAGCCGCATGCTCGTCAAGTGAAAGTCCCCAACTTCGTAATTTGCACTTTTAACAGCCTTTCGAAGAAACATTTCGATAAATTGCTTGATAAAAGCCTTCTGCATATTTTTTGTTCTTTTGTCCGGACCAAATCCATCTTCAGATTCCATGTTTACTTGTCCAGGGCTGTCCAGGGTTCTCATATTTTCTTGTGTGGTGACGAGATTCTCAAAACCCACCTCTGTGTGCATGTCGCTAACACTATGTGACGTCATCAAAGGAACGCTGAAGTACTACTCGATTACGTAACAAGGACGGTTGTCGTGCCGGCGTGCGTCACGTGACCGACTCATGGCTTCCAACTACGCTGACGCTTCACCACGGCGAAGGTAGTCGAACTTGGATATTCGACCCAGACGCTCACTCTGCATTTCCTGTTTTTGTCCGTTGTGTAACTGCAAATAGCGTAATTAATAACAGGTCGGTGATATTCAGCGCCCTTCCGCTTCTTCAGCGCATTTATTCGTGAAAACGTAGAATCTAGTCGCACTAATAAGCGCCGACGGAGCCAGGCTCTGGTGCTGAGCAGCTCCTGTACCGGGAACGGCGGGCGTAACCGGGCCCAGTTCAGCACAGGTCCCGGTGAGCCGGTCTGAGGTCGGTGTTTTTAGCCGGTGTTCAGTCACGTGTCTGTTGCTCACCTGCTGCTGATGAGAGGATTTCTCCTGTCAGTGTGGAAGGAAGAGGAGAGATGCTGCCAACACGCTTTAGTTCCAGTAGGAAGACTTCAGTGAGCTGTTATGTATAATTTTATAATTAATAGTAAGTTAATAAATGCACCAAACCCTCAGCACAGGTGATGCAAACTAACAATAAGCCTGACTATTTCCTCCAGCTCAGCTCTGATAGAAGTAAAGATGTCTGCTTAAGCTGGACAATATTAAATATTTAAAAATATTCACAGATAACTAATCTTTTAATGAAAAATGAATATTAATTATATAAATACATCATATTGGTTTTATTAATTTCTAGGTTTGGATGTCTGTGAACCTTACAGCAGCTTCTGATTGGTGAAAAGAACATGTGATGTTACTAATAACAGGTCAGGGTCTAAAGTGGGTCGGGCTGAGGTATAAAACTCTGCCCTGGGCCTAAAGCCCTGCAGATGTATTTTGTTTCTATGCACACCAACAACAAGTAAATAACAGCAGCTGATTGTGCTTTGTTCCTTACACTGTCATGAGAGGAGTCCGCCAGACTCTTCCTCTGTCTGTTCTACAGCATCGGCATGGCCGGCCAGGCTAGAGAGGAGTTCTGCACGATCACACATAAAACCACGAGCTCTTCCAGCTGATTGGGTCTTTGGTAACTAGTGACATCAGTTCAGTTCAGTTCAAGTATTTCATACGTCTTTCCTAGTGCCAGAACTCCCGATCCAGTCCCAGCATGTCTGTTCCAAAGTACTTCTACTCTCCTCCTGCAGCCTGCCGTCTCGCCCAACACGCTCGTCCGCTAGCCAGTGGCTAATCAGTGTTGTTTACTTTATCCCCACAACACTTTACTAACGGCGATGTAGTTCTCCACGTGTTACTGAGACGCTCTGACACAGAGGGTTTCTTCTCAAACGTTACCTTTAGGCTTTGGTCTCCTTATGCTGGTGATCCATGTGAGTTTACACGCAGCGTACACGGCGTCTCCCCGGCTCTAGCCATGGCTAACTAGTAGCTCGGTAGCTCGTGACGCCCATCTCCACCACGCCAGCCATGAGCCACGATTAGCTGGTGGATAAGTCAGCATTGTTGGGGCGACAGTGGCACAGGAGTTAAATGCTCTCCCCGTAATTGGAAGGTTGCAGGTTCGAGCCCCGCTCAGTCTGTCGCTGTCGTGTCCTTGGGCAAGACTATTAACCCACGTTGCCTGCTGGTGGTGGTCGGAGGGACTGGTGGCGCCAGTACTCGGCAGCCTCGCCTCTGTCAGTGCGCCTCAGGGCAGCTGTGGCTCATCCCCACCAGTGTGTGAATGTGTGAATGACTGATTGTGCTGTAAAGTGCCTTGAGGGGTTCCAGGACTCTAGAAGGCACTATATCAAATACAGGCCATTTACCATTTGTTTACTTGATCTCCAGCATGTCCCTGGCTCACCAACACTCCTGAACCAGCCGTAGTTAATGATCAGTCAGTGATCGCTCCACATCCATATAAGCTGGTAGCAACAGCCAGTTTGTTTACATCGAGCGGTGCGCTCCATGATCCACGTGAAATGGGTGTTGTGGGAAATTATGTTCCCCTGAAATTAGGGCTGAAACGATTCCTCGAGTACCTTGAATAATTCGAGTACAAAAAATCCTTGAGTCAAATTCTCTGCCTCGAGGCTTCATTTAATTCATGTTTAATTAATTCATGGCTTTGCAATCGCCCGTGGTCATGTTTCACCCGGACCAACATAAGTGACGCACATACACACTGAACAGAATGCACACGCGAGTAGCGAATGTAACTTAACTTTCTCTTAAGCCATGGCGGACAACGTGGACCCCGGTGGAGTGCGAAAAAGACACAAAATGTCAAAGGTGTGGGACCATTTTTCACGTCGTAAGGCGGAAAACGTAGTCCAGTGTAAAAACTGTAAAATGGATTTAGCCTACCACAACACCACATCCTCAATGCTGCAACCTGACCAGGAAACATCCACATGTGAACGTCACTTCTGCAAGCGGACTCGGAGCCTCTACAAGATGATGCATTTTAGCCTGTATTTCTATATATTCTGCGGACACTGTGTGACTTTTTCATTTGTAGCACTCAGTTTCAGCTCACACCGTACGTCTGGTAGCAACACGTCGGACTTAAAATGTGCTAAAAATAGCATTTTTTACATCACGTCGGACTTTTTACTGTGTTATCGATGTCCGTTGTCCCTCAGCATTGCTGCAGGAGGACACAGGTTTTATGAGCGGCGGAGGAAAACGAAAGAACGTAAATAAATGATTTGTGATCAGTATAATTTGACATAACCACGGCAAACATGCTTTCGACAATCCTTGTTACTGTGAAACAAAAAAAGTGTAGAAATAAAAACGAACGTGTGTTAATAGGGAAACAGCTGGCGAGCCAAGTTTGCTCATGCGCCGTGAGCGGTTCTGGTTCTGTTTGGGCCGCAGCCGCCCGCATTTGTTTACTGTGAAGTAAGTTGAAGTGCTGAAGTTTTGAAAACTAATTTTGAATAAAACTTGAAGAATAACTGGCAATTGCTTTCTCATTTCAAGAGGTCTTTCATATTTTATAACATGCTATTTGATGTAATGGTTTAAAAACGCAAAAGAGTAATTTATTAGAGTTCTCGATTAATTGATAAAAGATTCGATGGAGTACTCGATTACAAAAATATTCGATAGCTGCAGCCCTACCTGAAATATTCTGTTTCCCTTAGGCAGTCGAGAGCAAATATTTCCAAATCCACTGAACTTATTGTCCATTATGGAGGACTGAACTACCGTAAATCCTCTAATACAGGCTCGGGCCTGTATTTGACTCAAGCTCATCAAGCTCCAGGCCTTTATTGGAAGGAGGGCCAGTATTAGAGGCAGGCCTCTATTTCTATTTGAGCAAAATGAACTAATGGTTCACTGGAGTTTTTGACAATTAAAAGTGCGCCCACATTTTCAAAGTTAAACACATTTCTTTTAACAACGGTAGTTCCTGCTTCAGCCCTCTCCCCCCTCCTCCTGCGCAGCGGCCGCAAACTCACTGATGCGCCTGCAGCCTCTCGGAGTTCCTGCTGCTCTAAACATTAAAATATTTATTTCATTTTCTGTTCCTCACTTCTGATTACCTTCAATGGTGTCTGTTTGTTGCAACAGCAGGTACAAAAACTAACTTGTTTTTATTTGACTATTTTTCTGTCCTGCCTGTTTATTATCTTCCTGCATCTCCTCTCAATCCTAAAGAGAAACTGCTACCTGGGTTCATATATATTCACCTCATGAGTTACCTTTGAACTGCAGTTCTAAAAGATCTACCGACCGCAAAAACAGCGGAGCGCTTGCTGTTTGGCGGCCGTATCAGTGATCAGTGCGTCGGAGGAGAAGGTGATGCGCGCAGCGCCCCGCTCCACAGCATGCAGCGAAACACATCAGGCGCAAATAAAAGACAGAAAACATTAAAGGAAATGAACTGACATGAACGATCGCGTGTTAAATTAGTTTTTGAGGTGGCGACACCTGATTGTTACTGTGGCCGTGCTCAGGAGGCAGACCTACCGACCGCGAAAACAGCGGAGCGCTCCCTGCTGTGATCTGTGCGTCGGAGGACAAGTTGATGCGCCCCGCTCCACAGCAGCGATACACATCAGGCGCAAATAAAAGACAGAAAACATTAAAGGAAATGAACCGACATGAACGATCGCGTGTCAGTACCTACGGTCTGGCACTTGAGTTTTACCCCCAAAAAGGAGAATGTGATCATACGATAATTCAATAGGGAGCGTGGTTTCACAGACGCGGAAGTGATAGCGTCGGTGCTCTAGGAAACCCCCGAGCGTTCGAGCGTCAACGAAGTGACACGGAAATGCCGGGCTTTCCAGAAGTAAGTAAGATAACTTACTATGAGCTGATAGTTCGTTGGATTGATCGGTACGTTGGAAACTCTGATCGTGAATCTGAAGAAACGATGACTGAGTGGTGAGCTGGAAAGGCGACTTCCGTTTATAGCCGCGGTTTGTGACGTAGGTGCAACGTTAGGGAATCCCCGTGAGGGGCATGCTGGGAGTCCCTACTTCACGGATTTTCACCTATCGCGGCCAGGTCTGGAACGCATCTACCGCGATAAACGAGGGATTACTGTAGTTCATACACCCCCTACTGCTGCTCCCCAGAGTGTTCTACAGCATAATCAGCACGTTCTCTTTGAACTTGATAGTGTAATGACCTGGCTGGGGTTGTAAGCCAGGTGCATTCTGGGTATTGTGTTATATGTGTTTCCTATCGTTCTGCTAGTTCCTATGTGCTGATTTGCGTGTTGTGTGAGTGTTATGTAAGCCACAGGGAAGGTGATGTGTGTTCTGTGGAGCGGGTTGAATTAGCATGGTTAACTGACACCGTGACTCTGTGTGGTAGGAGCGTGATAGAGGATCGTATCTGTAGCGTTACAAAGCGTTGAAGAAAAAGCCTAAAAAACGTCTGCGTGAACTTCCACTGCCTCCTGCTGGTTAATTTGGGGACTATACTTCTGCCCCTGGGACGCTCGTACTTGCTTGTTACCACATTTCATCCGGCCACAATAAGAGACCGGCCATTATTTACCTCCGCTGACTCCGACACCGGCCAGAATTGGAGACCCGGCCTCTAATTGAATACCGGTCTGTATTAGAGGATTTACGGTACCTCAAATAAAAGATGTTAAACTGAGTGAGATTACATCTTTTTACATAACTTCCAAAAATTATAAATAAGCTTGCTGCAAAAGAGTGAACAAGAATGTTTTTACTATATGTTTTTTTAATTGTTTTTAGGAGGAAATACAGATAAAAAATCACAAGCATAACATTATTACATTACATTACATCAGTTTCCCGTAAAAGTTGATCACAAATGTTGTGAAAATAGCCAGAAGTGCGATCTCCCAACACGGGGGACAGAACATTTCAGGGAAACACAATTTCTCACAACACTGTCCTGACCTCTATGGAACTAGGATTGGGACAATATTCAGCGTAACTTGTACCAAGTTTTGTAACTTTGAACATGTTTCATCACATATAACTTTGCATTCGTAACTTGTAACTTTGGATTCGTAACTTGTAACTTTAGTTTTCTAACTTGTAATTCTCAATTTGTACTTGTATTTCTTGTTTTGTAACAGGAACATTGTATTTTGTACATGTATTTTTTATTTTGTAAAATCAAACTTTTATTTTGTACATTTACTACTCATTTTGTAACATCAAACATTCATTCAGAAACATGAAACTTTCGTTTTGTAACTAGCAGACTTCCAAACTGAAATAATCAAGGTACAAGTTTGAAATCAAAACTCTCAAAACACACATTTCATTCTACAGGTACAAACCTCAAATCTACAGTGTTACAGATCTTTTTGTCTCGATTCTAGCGTCAGTGGGAGGAACTTGGATGGAACCAATGAGAGCATGAGTCTTAGCTACCAATCACGTTTCTTGAATTCCTGTCCAATCATTGGGAGAGGAGGGCAGGGTTCTGTCAGAGCTGTAGAGAGTTATGACACTCCAATAGACTCCTATGGAACGGGGAAGTCACGTGGTTCATGTAGCTTCGAATAGTTCCAAACAGTCCCGCTGCTGCATTGACTGTATTTCATTTTCAGTGTTTCTGAAGGATTTTCTCCGGTAAGTTGACAAAATGTCATCATTTTGTTGCAATGTGAAGCATTAGCTAACCGCTTCGTACCAAAATAAGCCAATGACGATATTTTATGTTCCAAGTTTTAGCTAGATAACCTTTAATGAGCTAACTGTGTGCAGCTGTGTTTATGTAACGGACGCTGAGTCGCGTCCTTCAGTCTTTTAAACGAGGAAAATAACAAACCCGCAAAATGGTTAAAATTAGCTTATCGATACAGTATCAGCTACGCAGTAAATGAACACGATGGAAGCCCATTAGCTGTGGGTTATAGCTCAGTACACAGCAAATTGAAAAGTGTTACTTTTCCAGAGTTTGAGTATGTAGAGTTATATTTTTTACACTGCAGAGTATATTAATAATTTAATACACTTCCCGTGTTGATAGAGTGACTCCTACTGGTGTCAGTTGTTTAAGCAGGATTGGTGAAGAGTTTTTCCTGTCCTTACTAGCTCTCTTGGTGTTCATTTGTGATTGAGTCTCCACGGTTCTCATTTCACGTATCGTGCGTGTTTACGTCATGTGTGTCTGTTGACGCCGACGCCTGCAGGCGGCCAAAGGAAAGTTTTTGGCGGGACGGTCCTCCATTTGGTTTACGGAGCGGTGGAAGAAACAGTGATTTTCCAGACAACATAGCTTACAGGTAAGGCATATATTGATGGAATTTTAATTTCGAAGACAACGTTTAATAAACTGGCCGCTAGAACTGGTACATATTGTCATCATTATTGCCTGGCTTTTAGTTTAGGAGGAACTAATTTGCTGTTGCTAACTAAAGACGACGCAAAATATGTATTTATACACAACTCTCAATTTTAAAATGCAGTAAATAAATGCCATGGAAGCTGTCTTTAACTGAAGCTATTTAGCAAGAAACCCAGGGAATACTTTATGTTGTATGCCAGCAGTAATGGAAAATGTGCTTTGTAGTGATGGGACGAGCTAATTTAACGTAGCAGTTTTTTCCCCGAAATACTAGTTTTCTTTTTGAATTGCAGTTCTGCTGACTCCCGCCTTTACATGCTTTAGCAATCGTGGAGAATGTGTTTATTCCCAGAATTTTTCATAAAGCTAATCCTAAAAACATTGAAGAAAAGCTTGAAGACCCAGGCGGTGTACACTCTAGTGGCGAGCACGTTTACAAATCATCCAACCCAGGAGTGGCACTTTATTTTCCGCCTAAATGGTGACATTTTCCCTTCGGACTTAGTAAGCTAGCAAGAGTTGCAAAGCAATTCCCCACCATGGACAACAGAGGGCGTTGCGCTTTTCTGAAGAATCCTGCCACCATTATGATTGATCGCTGCAGTTCTCCGTCCTCAGTCTCCATCAAAGTTATTTGAAAAAAAAAAAAAAAAAAAAAAAACGAGTTTTACATCCTTGTCTGTTAGTGCAGCCAGCCACCCAGCAAGTAGTTACCATTTTACTGTAAAATCAACTAAATAAAAGCAATAAAAGGCAACAGACAGGCTTCTTAGCTTCACCGGAGTTTCAACGTGTATAAACGGTCTCATTCAATTCAAAGATACTTTATTATTTTGCCATCCATCATGGTGAACGAGCCGATCCCATGTGTGGCGTGACGTCACATGCAAAGGGTCAATACCGACGCAGACAGAGAAGTATAAATCCGGCTCAAAGACTGAAAACTGGGTGTTTCTTTGGAAGGAGCCTTGAAAAGCTAAGTAGGAGCAATCGATTTCAGTTGGGGAAACAAAATAAATCTGGACTAAAGATGAGAAGGTTTCCACTGTGCAAAGGAATGCATATTAAGGTTATTGCTATATGCTGGCTGCTGTGATTCTTTTTCTTTTTTTCCAGACGATGCTTTTCAAAGTGCAGTATATAGGGAAAAAACGCTATATCAAGCTCAATGGAGCCTCATATTCTACATTCCTCAGTCAAGGTATTACATTTTTGTTTTCATTTGGGTTCATCTGCTTAAAATTATGCATTTTTATGTTTTTTTATACAAGTTAAATTCTTAATCTTTGAGTAGGCAATGTGTTAAATATTAGGTAAATATAATTAAACTACAAATTGTATACTTGAATAATTTAAGCTTCTAAAATAATTTTATATGCATTTACAGCCAAGGAGAAGTTTGGCATCCAAGATGATAAAAGGATGTATCTTGTGGATGAAACTGGGACAGAAGTAGATGAGGATGTCTTTACTGATGTTCTGGAGGAGAAATCAGACATTATCTGGACCCTCGTTGATGCCTCTTCTGTAGAAGGTAACAGTAGCACTGTTAAATTAGCTACATCTTATTTTATACATCTAACTAAAAGTTAAAGGTTATTACTTACACTTCATGTTTTTTTTTTAATTCCCCCTTGTTTCAGTGAAATTCTGAAGCCACAGACAGACATAATTAGTTTCTTAATTTTGGCTAAAATGATTTAATGGTTGTCAAGTACTGATCTGTATTTCTGTTTTTCCTTAGAATCTTCGGTGCAGTCCTCATGCACAGACACGCTCTCCTTGTCATCTTTTTCATCAGACAGCGAGTTATCTGTTCTGTCCCCTAAAAGACGTCGCATTGATGAAACCACGATGATGTCCCCAAGAAGAGATCAAAATGACGACGCTTCTTTTCAAGCCAAAGAGGTGACATTTTTCAATTCATTTAAATAATTTAAATTTATTTGATTTAATTTTGTGTGAATTTGTTTATAAATGGAGGCTGTTATTAATAGGGAGGCTAAGTCATGCCCATCTACTTCTGTACCACGGATCCCCAGAAGAACAAAAAAATGAATGCAAGTCAATGGGGCTAAAACCGCAATTTTCTAATTCCGCTTGTTATGTGCCAGGGATTTCATATATGATGTCCGTGAATTTTAAAGATGCATTTTGATACCAACAAAGTGCTTATTTTCTAACGGGAGGAAACGTTATTTTAGATTTTGTGTGAAAATAAGCCCAAGACTACAAATACATTTCACAAAAGTGACGTCATCGAACCAGACACGGGAGAAAAACAGAGGGAAAATAGCTGTAAGTTCAGCAAACTTCAAATCATTCCTTCAGATGGAGAAAAACCATAAATCTGGCCATTTGGTAAGTAGCAGCTACACTACGGGAGAAGAGATTCTGTGGTGACGTCATAAATGCGACGTGCTGATGTTTGATTTGCAGTCATTCTAATTATGAACATTTACAAGCTGATAAATAAAGTACGTGACTGGTGGGGTCCAAACACCCATCATTAGTTTTCATTTAAATTGCAGTACAACGTGTGCGATCCAGGGCGTAAGGCAAAGCAGATTAGAAAATAGCGGTTTTAGCCCCATTGACTTCCATTCAATGTTTTCATTCTTCTGGGGACCCATGAGCCGACCGGAAAGGGAGGAGACTTAGGCTCTCTATACAGTGCATCTGGAAAGTAATCGCATCACTTTTTCCATATTTTGTCTTGTTACAACCTAAGCATCTAGGAGATCTGGGGTAACATTGAGGACACGTAGCACAGGTAAAAATCAGTACAGTATAAGAAACATAATTTAACAAAAATTGCTCCTGACGTCGGGCTTAAACATTCACAGAAACTGAAACTAATACAAGGAGCTGAATTGACTGAAAAGGAACAGACAATGCAAACACACTCAAAGTCTCATTAAATGACACCACTGTGTCCAAACTGAGACCAAACACACAGTCTCCACAGACATTGTGATATCTTGGCTGTGTGCTTAAAGACGTTCTGCTGAAAGATTACCGTCGCTTCAGTCCGAAGTCAAGGGTGCACTCAGGTGTTTATTTAGGAGGTCTGTGCATTTCTACATTAATTTTTCCATCTATTCTGAGTTTTCTCTCAGTTCCTCCTGCTGAAGAAAATTGCCATAGCATAATTTTGCACTTTATCTCAAAAATAGTGAATATTTATGCTTTTGTAATTAATTACCATGTTTAATACAGTTGCAAAATATCCCAATAATCTTTTTTCACATTATTATGGAGGGTTGTGTATAGAAGTTTAGTTAAAAAAAACAAGAAAGTTTAAGAAAAAACAAGGCTGTAGCCTGTAAGAAAACAAAATGTGGGAAAACAAAAGTGATGCACGGTGAATAATTCTCAAGTGCACTGTCTGTACTTTAATTATTTTTGTTGTTTCACTCTGAAGCTTGTTGAAAAACTTCTGCAAACCAAGCCAGGAGGTGAGAAAATACTCAAAGAATACAGACAAACAAGAGAGGTTAAGGACCCATTACGGCGGAAGTTGGTCAACATGGTTGTATCGGCGATGATTGAGCAGTATGGGTGAGTAGTTTTCATATGCAATCAAAAATAGGATGATGCACAGGATTACCCCCAGCGCTTTATAAGCCTGGCGGGCCACTTGGTCCCCCACCAGGCTGTCTCATGCCCGCCCCCATCCTAGGGGGCAGTGAAACGAACCACGGGCCCTCCATCCGCTGATATTAGCAGCAGCTCAACAGGTTGAGCGGGTTGTCCAGTAATCTGAAGGTTGCAGGTTCAGTCCCGGCTCCGGACAGAGAATTCTGCTGTTGTGTCCTTGGGCAAGACATTAACCCACCTTGCCTGCTGGTGGTGGTCGAAGGGACCAGTGGCGCCTGTGCTCGGCAGCCTCGCCTCTGTCAGTGCGCCCCAGGGCAGCTTTTGTTACATCGTAGCTCATCACCACCAGTGTGTGAATGTGTGTGTGAATGGATGAATGATACACTGTAGTGTAAAACGCTTTGGAGTCCTTACTCTGAGAGGCGCTATACAAGTGCGGATCATATTAACGAGAATCTACAGCAGAACAATTTGTGCACGCACCCACCTCCCCCTCTCACAGACGAGGGACGATCTCTGGCGGAGACCCTGATGAAATATGCACACAAATCGTAATTTATATCGAGCAAAGAAAAAAGTGTAACCTCAGAAGATTAATTCTGTCATCTTTCCTGTTTAGGACTGCTCCACCAATGGATGTAAGGACACGTTATGCATTAGGAATCGTCACCCTGTTTCCCTGTCTGAAAGACCCATACTCTGAAAAAGGATATGTGAGTATTAAGTATTTGTTCCTGCAGTTAATATTTTAAAACTGGTATTGTGGTGTCCCTTTTAGACGAGTTAAAGCGCAAGGCACCTCACCACCACCAGAGTCTTACCCTGCACATATTTCCTGTTTAAAAAATGCACCATGAGGAGTCGTTGCCTGGCCAACCAAGACACAAATTGCATGCCCACACTGCCCCAGACTTTGAGATTCCCCGCTATCATACACACATTCACATGAGCAGCCATTGGAGTTCGATGATATCTGTCCACCTCCTTTATCAAAGAGGGAAAAAGGTATTTTGGAGGAGCCAAGCAGCCCTGAGCTATATCGCTTTGTACCGATGGCTTGTATTGCCCCAGGCTACTGGTGCAGAGCCATAAACACTCACTTGCTATTCCCATTCTAACTTGCTATGTATAATTGGCTGAGCTTGAGACTCTGCTGCTTCTATTCTCCACAGCGGCAGTGCCGCTGACCACATATGGAAACAGTAATGTCACAGGGTATCTTTTAGCCAATAGCATTTGCTTATCCAAATTCAAATGTACAAACTATCTGAAGAGGGCGCTACCCTGACAGTTTTACGCAGAATATTTATATTTTAAATTCGATTCACTAAAATGCCAAAATAGTGACTACACATGTCTACACCATTATTAGACAGTTATTTACAGGTTATCTGCAAAAAAAAAAAAAAAACTTGATTTCAGGATGAATTGATCATATGTTAAGACTTATTTTATTTTCTGTAGGAGCACTTTTTTGATTCCAAAAGTAATGAAGGCTACATCGCTTGGAAACTAAAAAACATGCAGCGTGAACTCCATGGTGGCAGGAGAAGGAGCAGCACAAGTAGAGATCCATCAAGCAACAGAGGACCACAGTTTGGAAGACCCGTGAATGCAGAGCATCAGTTGGAGGGCGATCTGTGCAGAGAGGCCATTTCCCTGCTGAGACACAGCACAGATGAAAGCCAGATCTTCTTGAAAATGGAACAAACATTTAAGCACAGACAAGAACTAATTCAGGATTCAGAGAAGTGTGAGACCATCCTTAGTGTGTTCCCAAGATTCCTGGACACAAAAGGCCTGGTAAGTCCGCTTTGGATATAGCGTCTTAAGCTGCAGGCTTTGTCGTCTTATTTCAGAATAGTGGGTCATGACTGTTTTAATTAGTTCAAAAAGATTAGCAGACTTTAAAATGTCTTTGTTTGCTGAACTGTGCAGTTTCCAAATTTGTGTGTGTGGTTTTGTTTGATTTTAAGGTGGTACAGGATTTCCAGATGATGTTTGGAGAAGAAGTCTCATCAAAACTAATGGAAAAATGGGGAACCTCTTTGAAGGTGAAAGTCATCAAAGAAGCCAACAACCTCACAAAGACACCGGTACTGGAGTCTCTCATTCAGTCTGCAGAGGAGAGCCCAGAAGGAAATGATGAATCAAGTAAGTTTACATTTGAATGATCTCTTCCCCACCACCACCACCATTCATTTTGGAATGCAAAAAGAAGAAATACATATTTTTTTTATTTCAAAATATCAAAACTTACTTGGCTGAAATGTGTAAGCTCAAGTAATGAATTTAGTGTGAATAACTGTTTTATTACAGTGTTGTTCTAGAAAAAGCATGAAATGCATAGCTGACTGTTTATTTAAATCTTGTGCCAGCTTGGGACAGTGACATGGCAGCTCTGTTATTGCTGGTTTACCTCCTACCTCCACCACCCGGTGGGAAGAAGAGACCTGTAAAGATCACCGTTCGAGAAGCTCTGAGCCATGTTGTCCGCTTTCACAAAGTAAGTGGCTCAAACTCATAAGTGCTTCAGAGTGAAGTTGGAAAGTAATCATCTGATTTTTCTGTTGATATTTTTCTTTCAGTCATGCCGCAACCTTCAAGAGACGACCAGTTCAGTCCAGGGGAGGCAGCCCTACATTCTGGCGGTTGGAACAACACGTTGCACCATCAATGACTACTACATTGTGGTGGATGGTCAGCTCATTCCCTGCAAGGCTAAGTCCTCTATTTCAGCCTTTGACAAACTTTTCAAAGCGCACTATGTGTTTGGCATCTCTTACGATCAGGCCCTGCACAATATGTATACATTTGTGCAGACCACCATTTATAATATAGATGTTGGTCTGTGTCATGAAAGTCCTAGGGTGAAGGATCTTAGAGCAAAGCTCCTCAACTGAATCAGCTACACAAAAAGATGCTTCGATGTTTTGTTTGCAAGTCTACCTTTTGCACTGTCAAAGGCTTGGTTCGGCATCTGAAGTTTTCTCATGGATTTTACCCTGGTTTGAAATTTAAACTGTTATGTGACCAAGATGGATGTTGTCAGAGGTTTTGCACCTTTTCAGGATTTCGAAAACACCTTCAGAACAAGCACAGAGCTAGAATTGTAGATAATTTTGAGGAAAAAACTAAATCAGCAGTAAATCACTCATTTGAGCCATCTTGTGCTTTTGAAGAGCCATCTTGTTCTTCTGAAGAACAACCACAAAGTTCAACTAGCAGTGAAATGGAAAAAAAAAATACTCAAGACATGTGTGCATCTGTGATTGCAAATCTTCTAGGTTGTGGTGTTGCAACCAGTATAATAAAGTCCGTTGTTCAAAATGTGGAGGAACTTGTAGATGAAATTCAAACAAATATCAAAGAAGATCTTCTAAACATATGTTCTGACAATGAGGATTTGAATGTCCAGTTGGGTAATTATTTCAAAAATCTTGAGAATCCATTCAGTAATGTTAACACAGAGGCAAAATGGAAGAAACATTTTATAGAGAAATGGGGGGTTATCGAACCCATTGAGATTGCCCTTGGTGTCCGATATGATGCAAGAAGAAATCAAACCTCTTGTACATATGATCAGGTTCCAGTAACAGATAAGTTTGTCTACATTCCCATATTAGAGACGTTAAAATTCATTTTTTCCAACAAAGAGATATTTAGCAATTTTGTTCAGCCTTCAAATCAACATTTTGTGTACAAAGATTTCTGTGATGGAAGTTATTTTAAATCTCATCCCCTCTTCTCCAACAACGAAAATGCTCTCCAAATTCAGATTTTCTTTGATGAGTTTGAAACAGCAAATCCACTTGGGTCAAAGCATGGCATTCATAAAATTGGAAGTATTTACTTTGTTCTTAGAAACCTGAGTCCAAAATTTAATTCTGCTCTCATGAATATCCATCTCATTGCACTATTTCACAGTCAAGATATGAAAAAATATGGCATTAATGCAATCTTGGAGCCCCTGGTACATGATCTCAAAATCCTTGAGTCCTCAGGAATCACTCTTCCTTTTTCCAAAAGTCCAGTTCATGGAACAGTTGCGCAAGTCACCGGGGACAATTTAGGTTTGCATACACTGCTTGGATATGTTGAATCTTTCAGTGCAAACTATTTTTGCCGTTTCTGTTTGACTGACAAAGAGGTCTGTCAAAAACTTTTTACTGATGATGACCCAGACTTGACCCTTCGCAGTAAAGAACTCCATGTTCAGCATTGCCGTGATATACAGGACCCTGCAGTAACATCATCATTTGGGGTGAAGAGAATGTGCATACTCAATGATCTGCAGTATTTTAATGTTTCTGACAACTATGCTGTAGATATTATGCATGACATATTGGAGGGAGTAGGGCAGCTGGAGTTAAAGTTGCTGTTTGGATACCTCTCAGACAACAAAATAATTTCCAAAAATGAGGCAACTGAAAGAATGTACTCGTACAACTATGGATTTCTTGAACGAAAAAACCGTCCCAGCAGAATAAACCTAGAGCAAATGAGTAACTCAATAGGTCTAAATGCTATTCAGACATTTTGTTTGATCAGGAATGTACCACTGATATTTGGAGATGTAGTTCCAGAAGGCAATGCACACTGGAGACTATTGCTACTGCTTCTTCAAATAATCAATCTTGTGTTTTCACCAGTCATTACAGAAGGCATGACTGTATATCTGAAGCATCTCATTATTGATCATCATACGCTATTCAAAGAGCTGTACCCACAACAGAACCTCATACCCAAACACCACTTCATGACACATTATCCTCGAATCATACGAAAAATTGGCCCAATTATTCACTTTTGGTCAACCAGATTTGAGGCCAAGCACAGGTTTTTTAAAAACACTGTAAAAAATTTCAAAAACATTACCAAGACTTTAGCTCAAAAACATCAAATGGCAATAGCATACCACTGGGAGTCATTGCCTTTGAAAAGCATTGATTCTGGACCTGTTAACACAGTAAAAATAAGCGAGTTAAGAAATGGTGACATGGTGGCTGATAACCTGCACGTTAACATGAACTAAGAGGTTGATGTGGTATCTTGGGTTGCATGTTATGGAACTGAGTATCGCCCTGGACTTGTTGTGTGCTCAAAGATTGAAGGGGGAATACCAGTATTCAGTCAAATAAGTGAAATTATTGTTTGTGCTGGGAAATATTTTCTGGCAGTGGAACACTTTGAGACGCTAGGATTTGCTGAGCATTTTCACTCGTACCATGTGGCAAAGGGAAGTGAGTTTGATACTTCTCTGTTGAGGGTTGATTTGTTGCAGTTTTTCAAACCATTTGATCTTCAGACAACTTACGGTTTTGAGAGGAATGATTTGTTCGTGGTTCTTGTGCATGTGCTGTTATAGCAGACATCAAAAAAGTAAAAGATATTTTTGTTTTAGGATAGGTCCAGTTTGGTGGGTGAAAAAGCACTTTTGTTTTAGAGACAATTGCACAACACCTGTTTATGAAACAGATTCTGCTTCTTTGCATCATTTGTTCCTCATTTTGAGATTCATTGTACAGTAAACATGAAGACTATATGCTTAAGTGACTGAAGGATGTCCTTTGTTTTCTCACAATTTTTGTGACAAATTGTAACACATTTTAGTGTTTCCATTTTCAAATAAATATTTGAAAATTCTGTGGTCAGTTGCTTATTGATGTTCAATTATCTTTAAAGTGCTCTTGATTTCAAATTAAAATGCTAAAATTGACTATTTCAGTGATTAACTCCCTTTGCAGGATGTTATTGGACTCCTTATGGTCCATATTAGACACTGTTGGAGTTCTCTTTCTTAACATTCGTTTCGATGTCTCACTATGGGATACGCCCCTCCGCGGATTCCTCAGAAGCACTTATCTCAATACGCCAATCCTGATTGGCCAGTGACCGTGACGTACGCGTCCCCCTGCTACTATAAGTAGCAAGCGTCCCCACGTACACACTATTCAATCACCTCTTCTCGCTTCGGTGGTCGCTTATCTCTGAGGTAAGTTAGCTCAACTGTTCACAGACGGAGCCTTCTAATATTCTCTCCGTCGCCGAACGTTAACTTACCGTCCTTCTGTCCTGACCTTCACCATAGGCTCGGGGCATAACGAGCAGCTTCACACTCCAGTGCATCTGTTCGTTCTATGCTAACACACCAGTTAGCCAACATGGAAGCCGCTCCTCCCACCAGAGGAGTCGACGGTGCAGGAGCTCGCCTCTGTACCTGTGGGAACAAAATCTCAAGCAAAGACCCGCACAGGGTCTGCTCGAGCTGCCTTGGGCTGGAACACGCCCAGCTGGCATTGGAAGTCCCCGGGTCATGTGAGAGCTGCGCTTGCTTCACCCTGAAGAGCCTTCGCCGGCGGCTAGCGTGCCAAGCTAGCCTGTCGGGGAAGGACCCTTGCCTGCCGGCCCCTGGGCCACCGCCTGGGGACGCCAGCGAACATGTCCTCCCGGAGCCGGAACCGTGTGCCGAACTCAGCTGGGGCTCACAGCTCGAACTGGCCGGTCCGAGCCACCCCGCCGAGGACGTGTTGGAGTTGGACTACGGAGACGACGAGGACACCTCGGAACTCCTCATTTCAGAGGAGGACGAGGAGGACGACGTCTTTCTCCCCATCGCTCAGGCCTCCATGCCTAGCTTTCCGTCCTCTCCCAGGGATGGAGCGGTTTCTCCGGCCGCCCACCTGGACATGCAGTCAGTCTGCCGACGCGCTGCGACCAGGCTCAACATCCCTTGGCCCACCGTGGTCACTGAGGCTGTCAGATCCCGCTACGAGGGAAAGAAGCTGCCTCAGGCCACGAGGGCGGCAAAGCCCCTCCTCCCCGCCTTCCCGGAGCTACTCCAAGAAGTGGGGTCCTCCTGGGACAAACACCCGTTCAGCTCCAGGTCTCCTGTCCAAGAAGCCTCCTCGCTGGACTTCGAAGGGATGGAGACGGCCGGCATGCTTCGCATGCCGCCGATGGAACCGCTGGTTGCAGCCCACCTGCATCCACGGCTCTCGGCGACTTCCTCCAGGCCTCCCGCTCTCCCTACGAAGGCGGACCGCTTCCAGTCGGCGCTGAACGAGAGGGCGTACAAGGCTGCCGCCATCTCGGTCCGAGCTTTGAATGTCTCCTCCATGCTCTCGGCGTACCAAGCCGAGCTCTGTGAGGACATGAATACGAAGCCGGACCCGGAGGTGCGGGAGGAAATCACCGTACTGACCGACATCTGCCTGCGTGTGCAGCGCTGCGCGGTCCATGCTACGGCTAAAGCTATGGGCATGATGGTGCTTCAAGAACATGCACGATGGCTGAACCTCACCAACCTCTCTGAGAGAGAGAAGGAGGACATTTTGGACATGCCAATCGTGCCTGAAGGCATTTTCGGCTCTGCCCTGGCATCAATGCAGCAACGGTGTGCGGCTAAAAAGAAAGAGGATGAAGCCCTTCATCTCTGCCTTCCCCGTAAACCCTCACCGGCGCTGCCGGCTCGGCCGAACCTGCCTCAGGCAGCTGCCCGAGCCCAGCCTCAGTTCCGGATCCCAAAGCGCCCGAAGCCTCAAGCTGTCCAACCAGCTTCTTCGGGCTCAGAGCCTCGACCAGTTTGGCCTCAGGGATCCAGCAACCAAGCTGCTCCGCCACCGGGACAATCCACCAGACACGGCGGTCAGCAGGTGAGGAGGAAGAAGTGGGCAGCCTGTCGGAGTTCTTCCCTCCCGACGCTGCAGCTGGCGGTTCCCCGTTCGCCAGCTCCTCCTGTTGGATGTTGCCATGGTGCTTTCTCCCCCCCCTCACGGAACCCCTCCGGCAGAGTTCCCGAGCGGTCCAGGGTGGGGCCAGGACGTGCAGCCGGCGGTGCCGGCTCAAAGCACACGTCACAAGCACTCACATTGTTTTTCACAAACATGTCACGCTCAAGGAGCATTAAAAGGTTCGCTGTCGCATCCAGACAAGATGTCAAGGGCGCAGCAAAAATCAATATAAATGTCACCCATGAGCGGTTCCAGGCGGGGGCGGCGCCACGGGTCGTCCCCGTAAGCCTGGGCCGTCAAAGCACAAAGCCCCCGCGCATGCGCAGTGGCTGCCACGAGCACCGCTGCCCCACAACCTCTGGAGGGAGCTGGTGCTCCGTGTGTCACGGCTGTGTCACCGCTCTCCACTCACAGGGAGGAATGGACAGCGGTTTCTGCTTCACGTTGGGTGCTGAGAACAATTTCGAGGGGTTACAGGCTCCAATTCGCTTCTGTTCCTCCTCGATTCTCCGGCGTAGTGTTCTCCCACGACCAGGGGTCGTCAGCTCACATCCTTCAGGGAGAAATCTCCTCCCTGCTGGAGAAGGGAGCGATATGCATTGTGCCTCCCGATCGGTCTCAGAGCGGTTTCTACTCCAGGTACTTCCTGGTCCCGAAGCGGGGAGGGACCGGGATTCGCCCGATCCTGGATCTGAGGGCCCTGAACCGATGCCTCAGAAAGTACAGATTCAAAATGCTCACGCTCTCATCCCTTTTGCGTCTTATTCACCAGAGCAACTGGCTCACCTCAATCGACCTGAGGGACGCATACTTTCATGTTCCCGTGTACCCTCCACACAGGACATTTCTGAGGTTTGCCTTTCAGGGAGTGTGTTACGAATACACCGTGCTCCCATTCGGCCTCTCGCTGAGCCCGAGGGTGTTTGTCAGGTGTACGGAGGCGGCGATCGCCCCTCTGAGAGGGAGGGGCATTCGGCTGGCCACGTATTTAGACGACTGGCTCCTGCTGGCACGGTCCAGAGAGGAGACAGCGTCAAACACGCTGGTTGTGATCCCTCACTTGTGTGGTCTGGGTTTCAGAATAAACTGGCAGAAAAGCGCTTTGCTCCCCTCCCAGAAAATAACCTATCTAGGTCTGAATCTGGACTCAGGGGCGTTCACGGCCCGTCTCTCGGCACCGCGCGTGAACGCGCTCTCGTTCTGCCTGGCGCGCTTCCGCCTACACAGTTCGGTGCGGTTTGCGTTATGCCTCAGGCTTTTGGGTCTCATGGCGTCGGCTATTTCAGTGGTACCACTCGGCCGTCTACACATGAGAGATTCTCAACGCTGGGTGGCTTCTCTGGGTCTCTCTCCAGTGCGCCACAGAGCGCGCAGGGTGACGGTCTCTGCAGCGTGCGTCACGGCGCTCCGCTGTTGGAGTCACCCCTCCCTCTTGGCACAGGGGGTGCCTTTGGGGTTGGTTCTCGTGAGGAAAGTGGTCACGACAGATGCGAGCCTGTCAGGTTGGGGGGGGGCTCCTGGAGGGTCGCTCTGTCAGGGGTGTGTGGAGCAGAGGGCTCTGGGGGACACACATAAATTATCTGGAACTCCTCACGGTCTTTCTAGCCCTGAGGCGCTTCCTGCCTTTTCTCTCCGGCCATCATGTCCTAGTGAGAACAGACAACTCCTTGACTGTGGCTTATATAAACCACCAGGGGGGGCTGCGCTCCATGCGGTTACACACGCTGGCACGCAGACTGATCCTATGGTGCAGCAGGCATCTCCTCTCAATCAGAGCCACCCATGTCCCGGGTGTTCTGAATCGGGGGGCGTATCTGTTGTCCAGAGGGACACCCCTGTACGGGGATTGGAGCCTGCATCCAGCAGTGTTGGAACAGATTTGGATCCGGTTCGGCACAGCCGTAGTGGATCTTTTTGCCTCCAAGGAGAATGCTCACTGTCCTCTGCGCGACCGAGACGCTCCACTCGGCGTGGACGCGCTGGCGCACGACTGGCCACGGGGACTGCTTTACGCTTTTCCCCCAGTGGCCCTGATACCACCCACCTTGCTGAGGGTACGAACCCAGCTCCACACTCTCATTCTGGTGGCCCCATACTGGCCAGCCATGCATTGGGTGGCGGACATTTTCCAGCTCCTGGAGGGCCAACCTTGGAAACTTCCGCTTCGCAGGGACCTGGTGTCCCAAGCGGGAGGCTCGATCTTCCACCTTCATCCAGAACGGCTGGCCCTGTGGGCCTGGCCCCTGAGGGGTGCGGGCTAGTGTCAGCAGAGCTGCCCCAGGCGGTCATTCGAACCATTCAGAATGCTAGGGCCCCCTCCACTAGGTCCCTATATGACTGTAAATGGAGGGTGTTTGAAGCCTGGTGTCAGGGCAGGGAGGTCTCACCCTTCCAATGCCCGGTGAACGTCATTCTGTCTTTCCTGCAAGACTTGTTGGATGGGAAGAAGGCTTTCTCCACCATTAAAGTGTACCTAGCAGCCATTTCCTCCCGACACTTGGGTTTTGGGAAGAAACTGGCAGGTCAACACCCCCTGGTGTGTAGCTTCATGAGGGGCGCGCGCAGGCTTCTCCCTGTGTCTCGACCCCTGGTGCCCTCATGGGATCTGTCCTTGGTGCTGTCGGCCCTCTCCGGGCCTCCATTTGAACCTATGGACGGCCTGGACCTTAAGATCCTGTCTCTTAAGGTGGTGCTACTCCTGGCTTTGGTATCTGCAAAGCGAGTTAGTGACTTACAGGCCCTCTCTGTGCACCCATCCTGCACCCAGTTTGCACCCGGTGACATGAAGGTGTCCCTGAAGCCCAACCCTGCCTTTGTGCCTAAGGTGGTGGGCTCCTTTTCTCCTATTATCCTCACAGCTTTCTACCCGCCACCCTTCTCCTCTCCTGAGGAGGAGCGGTGGCACAAGCTGTG